TAGGCACTCTATGCATACATGGTTGCAGCGGTACATACCTGTAAATACAGCATGCTATAACGAGTTTTCTCTGTATTCATGAACAAAGCTATGGAACCTTGAATTAATCATACCATGCAGGGTTAGGGTCATCATATTTTTACACATTGGAGGTTGATTCTGTTCTCTTTTATCATAGCAGTCATTGGTGGTTGGTTTACCGTAGATAACAGCACCTATGCGATTGAGCTTATCCTTTGTGATTGTCACAAGTTCCCAACACATGGATTTTGTCAACGCAGACATTGCTAGGATAAAAAATGGTATTTGACCGTTAGTCTTGAAGCTCAAAAACTTAATAAACTATATTTCAAACTTGATCATGTTTCTAGTAATCTTACCTTCCAGTTTTCCGCATCTTCTTCCAGCTGCCTAGTACACTGGGGTAGCTGCCTAGTGCACTGGGGTAGCGGACCAGACAAAGTAACTTCCGGGTCTCAGAACTCTATTAATCTCCAAAAGTAGACCCCCTATGAACAATTTCTCCATCAAACTTGAACGAAGAACAAGTAAGTTTTATTTGAAACTTTCTGAATTTTGATTTTGGTGTTTAGGTGTAATACAGGAGAAAATAGATTTACTTCTTAGTGAAGCTTGAAAATATTTGGTTCAAGCTCGTCTAGGTAAACCACGAGTTTTCTAAAGATTGAATATGTAAATTTTAATCTTTATAGCTTATATATAATTTTGGTGCTTTCACTTTTTTGATTATTCAAATCTTATTTTCTTTTTCAATCTAGAGGGAGTCAATGGACTGAGGACTATATTATGAAATTTTGAGATTTGATTAGCTCTAATCTAGTGGAAGAAAGGAATCAATTAGAAGCACGGTTTTCCTTCTTTAAGGCTGGATACGTGGAAGATTTTGTTATGCATGGTATGATCAGCATTTAATAATTAACAAACTTTGACAGCTATTATGTAACTGTATTGCATAGACTATTCTCTTCTTAGAAATCTAAGAATGTTAAAAAAATGGATAAAAGTTCTAATCTCTTGCACTTCATGAATGAAGTGTTTTTTTTATAAAAAAGCTCCTCTTCTTTGTTTCTCTCTCGCTACAACCTTAAAGAAATGTAGTTGTGGAAGGGGTTTTATTTTATATTTACGTTAATGTCAAATCAACAGGGAATAAATAAAATCATGTTTTAAGTTATTTAGTGTGATTGCCTTCACTTATCATGTTTTTTAGAAAGGTGGTACGTGAATGGAGATAGGATGATTTTTGATCTCTTGTTAGTTCTTAACAGAAAATTGTATGAAAAGCTAATCTAGTTTAGGCTTATTTATATCAATGTGGTCTTCTTTAATTGAAGAGCTGGATAAAAACTTTCTTTTGTCGTGGGAATATCTTATCATTGATAAATCTTGAATTATGTGGAAACAATGATCAAGGAGGAAGATGAGGATTGAACTCTGGCTGTAGTAAATACTATGGAAAAGGCCTTACAATTGCGTGATGGAGATGCTAATTTTCTTACTAAGAGAACAACTAAATCTAGATCATAAATTTTTCTTTCTAGATCATATCCTAAGAGAAGAGGAGGATGCTGACATAATTATTGTTGAGATGTAAGGATTCATTGTCCTTTTTCACAGTTTTTTAATGATGCATTTGCTATTATACATTACATAATCTGCATTGTGGATGTTGCGGCACTTGCTGAAAGCGACTGATAGAGGTAGAATATGAGATATGATAGAAAACTTAATGATAAAATCCATAAGGATTTGCGCGTTCATGTTTAGCTCAATTTTTTTTCAAGAATTACTGCTGCATCTTGAGTTTTAGTTCAAAACGAATTCTAGTGTCTTGAATCAGGATCTTTGAGAAAGTTTTAGTTGATGATAAGATGCATGTGTGGAAAGTCGAGTTCTTTCAAGGAGTTGAACTTGTGGGTTCTGTTTTGGTTCAATTTCTTTTCAAGAAATGTTGTGTATTGAGTTTTTGTTTAAACTAAAGACTTTCTTTCCTTATTGGATTTCTTGATAAAGTTTTATTTCACGATAAAAACCATAAAGGTTTGTACGTTCATGTTAACTCAATTTTTTTTCCAAAAAATATTGAGTTTTAGTTTAAAACGAATACTGGCTCCTTGAATCAGGATTCTCGAGGAAATTTTACTTGATGATAAAATCGAGAAGGACTTGATGAAGGTTTTGAAGATATGCAATTACTAATTGTAGCCTATTTTCTATTTAAACTAAAATCAATGTATAGGAAATTCTTGGAAACTCAAGAAAGATAATTTTGAAGTTTCTACACATCTCGAGAATGATGCTACTGAATGTAGTCTATAACAAGGCAAATAAAAAAAACGAAAGCAATGAATTTCGTATGTAATAGCTAAGCTTGAGAAATCTGAAAAAGAAAAATGCATTGCTTTCTTTTAGAACAAATAATCTTCAAGAAATGCATATGTAGTTTTTTTAGATTTTGAAGGAAAAGAATTGATGCTTTCTTAACATTTAACAAGAACTTAGTTTTGTTCTGTCAATCTTTAAACTTGATTGTGTTAAGAAAAAATCGATTATTTCTTTTCTTATTTTTTTCAAAAATCAAAGAGTAATGTAATCTCTTTTTTAAGATTGCTTGTGCTATGAAAGCAATTTTTTCAACTTTTTCAAAAATCTTAGTAGATTAAAAAGTTATTGCTTTCAATTCTTCATTTACCTTGGTGCATGCTCTATTTAATTTTTCAAGTTCTCTCGAAATAACCGTAAATCACACAAGTCATCAATGTAGAGTTTTTCTTTTATTTCTCTTGAAATATAGAAATCTTTGAGTTGTATTGTATTTAAAAGTTTTCTTTCATCTTTAAATTCAACAGAGCCGAAAAATACTGCGGTTTGTCTTTAGTTTTCTTGAAATCTAATACTCTATTATCCATGCAGTTTAATAAAAAATAAAATAAATGGAGTAGAACTACGTATGACTTGATTCGCAAAAAGAATGTACGTAGGCAACTTAAAGTACTACTCCGAGTTCGATCAATTTTAAGCATTTCAAATTTTATTAGACTTTATGGATAAAGCAAAACTATGTATGACTTGATCTTCCTGCATTGTTTGATTCACGAGGAGACAAAAATTTTCTTTTCTTTGCTTTGCTTTTTTTTACTTTTTTTTTGGTTCTTTCTTTGTTTCATTATTTGTATGATGTATTTTTTCTGTTAACCATATGCTAATCCTATATAATCTATTTGCGTTAGAGGTAGAATATGAGCTTTGGTAAAAGAGTCTCTCTTTCTTTCTTTCTTTTTTTCTGTGTTTCTTTCTTTTAATTAAATTTGCAGTGATAGTTGAGATTTTTTGCTCTACATCCGGATTTGCATGACTAGTTGGTTAGCGGGAAAAAAGTATATTAAGTACTTATGATTATTTATAGCATATTGATGTGGCATTTGACAGTTTGGGTTAACTATTGTTGAGGAGATGTAAGAATTCATTTTTATTTTCACAGTTATTTCATGATGCATATTATATAACTTGTATATATTCATGGATATTGCAGTACTCACTTAAAGTGACTGATGCGTTTTAAAGGTAGAATCCGTTTTTGAATAAAACATTTTTTATTCGTTTTGTATGTGACCTATGTATTCATCCTAGGTTATGCGACCTTTACTGACCGTGACTAATACGTTAAAGATAAAATCTGTTGTTCGAGAAATTTTTTTTTTCCTTGTTTATTTGTTTCATTTAAATTTGCAATGACATATCCATTTAGTACTTTATAAAGTTTTATGATCATTTATATCAAATTGACGTGGTCAGTTATGCAATTTAAGGGATAGAGAGGATCTTTGCATGATCATTGTCCCGAAGAGAATTCTTCATTTTCATATCTATTGAACAATGCAATTGTTGTCCATATGCTATATAATCTATGTGTTATTCATAGGTTATGTGACATTCACTTGTTGCGAGTGATTCACCGTAGAGGTAGAGTTCGAATTTTGATAGAAAACTTTCTTTCTTTCCTTCTTTCTTTCTTCATTTCCTTTTTTCTTTCATTTGAATTTGTAGAAAGACGTGTGTTGTAGGTTCAAATCCGAGCTTGCATTGAAAGGGTGGAAAAAGGTCTGTCATCAAGTTTTATGATCACTTGTAACATATTGATGTGTAATGTTAGACAATCTAAGAGATTAGGGGGATATTTTCACAAAGGTTATGTAAGGGAAAGAGTTTCATATTGATGTGCTCTGTTAGCATATCAAAGTGGTCTTTTACGCGGGCTAAGAGAAGCGGATGATGTTGGCTTAATTTTTGCCAAGAAGAGGTAAAACATTCTTTTTGCTCTTCATGATTATTGAATGAGGCATTTGTTATCATTATGCTGTTGACTTATGTATTTCTCATAGGTTATACAACATCCACAGATAACGAGTCATGTGTCAAAGGTAGAATTTGAGGTTTGAAAGTAAAGTTTTTTTTTTTTTTTCTTCCTTCTTTTCTTTCTTTCTTTCTTTTATTTAAATTTGCAGTGACGCGTCCGTTTGGTTGCTCTCAGTCCGAGCTTGCATTAAAGTGTTCAAGAATGAAAAACTGGTACCTTATCAAGTTTTATGATTACTTATATGAAATTGACGTGGTCAGTTATGTAATTTAAGAGAAGGGGAGGAGGATATTTGCATAATAGTTGCCCAAAGAGGATTTTTTATTTCCATATTTGTTTAATAATACAATTATCATTTGTATGCTGTATAATCTTACGTATTACTCATAGGTTATGTGATATACTATGACCAGCGGTGCATTGCAGAGTTAGATTTTAAACTTTACTATAAGATTTTATCTTCTCATTCATACTTTCCTTTTTTCTCTCTTTTTCCCTTTCATTTAATTTTGCAGCAATATGTGCCTCTGGTAGCTTTGAGTCCAAGCTTGTATGGGAACATTTATCAACAAGAAAGAGGTAAATTATCAAGTTCTATGATTACTTATAAAAGATTGTTGTTATATGTTAGGCAATCTAAGAAAACAGAACGTTGGCATAGTTATTGCCGAAAAGATGATTTTTCTTTACTTTTTTACTGAATGATTTAATACTTTTTTACTGAATGATTTAATTGCTATCGTGTGGTACGTAATCTATGTTTATTCTAGGTCATGGGGGATTCAACATAGTGAATGATGCATTTTGGTGGTAGATTCTGAATTTCAAAGGTAAACTTTCTTTCTTTCATTCTTTCCATCATTCATTCTTTCATTATCTACATTTGCAGTGATTCATTTGCTAGTTCCGAATCCAAACTGGCAATGAAGATTCGCTAATAAGAATGAGGTATATTATCAAGTTTTATAATCAATTATAATATATTTATTTGCTCTTTTAGGCAGGTCCCGAGAAAGGGATGATGTTGGCATAATTGTTGTTAAGAAGAAGTAATGCTTCATTTTCTCCTTCATATGTCACATATGCAATCTATATGTCATGTAACTTATACATTCCTCATAGGTTATGCAACACTCATTGACAGCTATTGATGCATTCTAGAGTTAGAATCGGAGCTTTGATAAGAAATTTTGTTTCTTCATTCTTCCTTTTATTTTTTTTTTACTTATTTTCTTTCCTTCTTCATTTAAATATTACAGTAAAATGTACATTTATAAATCCGAGCTTACTTGGAAAAGTTCACAAGTAGAAAGCGATGTCTTGTCAAGTTTTATGATCATGTGTAACATATTGAAGATATCTTTTAGGTGGACTAAGGGAAGTGTTTGAATATTATAAAAGATTTATATACATAATAGGTTGATTATGTTTCCAAATGTATTAGACTAATGAGGAAAGAAATTATTAGAATAATTTATATTGGTTACCATATATGATTTTATTTACATGTATATATATTTCTACTTTTATTTCAATAAAATATAAGAAATATTCAGTTTTTTTTTAAAAAAATTACATGGTTTCAGAGTTAGGGTTAGGATTTTTTGAGGACAAAATAGATCATACCACATAAAGGGTTAGGATTCTTTTGCTTTCCTATTTAACTGTACTGTTAGATTTACTCCTTATAGTTCGTTGAAGGGCTAGAAGAGTTACCATTCAAAGTAGGCATCAGGATGTCACATGGTCAAGGCATTGAACGCCTGGTTTTTGCAGAAAGAAAGGGATAAATATATTCATGTTTTTTCCTTCCATGAAAGGAGGATTTGGAAATCGCCTTGAACAGGGAGGATGGCAGCTATTGGCGATTGGATTCCAGAAAAGAGCAGTCTGTCTCTGAAATCTTGTTCAGATGGTAGGGTTGGAGGTAATGTTTTATATGCTTTTAGTGGTTACAGGAATGCTCGAAATAGATATCTTACGAGAGAAGTAGTTTTGCTTGCTCTAAGGAATGCTTGCGATACATGTCGAAAATTTTAAAAATCAATTGCAATTTTGACATGCCATACATGTGGAAATTGCAATTACATACACAATATATTGCTCTTGGATGCCCTCATCCTTCGATTGTTGACCTCTTTTTATTAGAAATAAAAAATCTGGCTCTCCAAGAAAATGATATTCAACTAAATAATGACAAATATTCAAATTCAAATAAAAAAGTCATCATGATAATCTTCCTATATAGTGTGTATATATGTATATACATACATATATACATATAAATTCAACACAAACTTTACATGATATATAAAGATATAACACCAAAATCTATAATATCATATATTTTGAAAATAAAACTTAAATTGTAATATTGTTTGTAATTTTACTCCATCTGGGAGCAACACATCTAGTTACCATTTTCTTACAATGATATTAACAAATAGTTTAATTGAGTAGACAAATTTTTTTTATAATATTTATATTTATTATATACTAAATTGAAGAAAAGAAATATAAAATTACATTGTAAATGACACTATAAAAAATGTCACTATATTTATATAA